CCCTAAAAACTAATATAAGACGCGGACTTGATGGATCCAAATTTTGAACCTATACCTGGACTTGGACTGGGTCTATCTCTTGGGTCGAGTCCGGGTCCCACCCCAACCAAAAGACGGATAAAAACTCATCAAATCAATGCATACTTCATTACTGGTTTATCACTATGCCTGTAATCTCTACCCCAAATTGCAATTTGGGTCTAACTTTTTCGATTTTTACACAAACCTAAAACCATCTGAAACTTTGAAGTTCGAACAAGATTTGTGGCAAGCCGGAAAATTAGGGTTTTTTTTTCTCCATTTTCCCATAAAATCTCCAACTTCGGAGAAGATTCTAGCTATGATCCTTCTGCAATAAATTAAATAATTAATTTTTCTCGGTTTTCACGGGAGAAAAAAAGGGGGTTTGGTGCTCCTTTCCTGTCTAGTGACGCCTCAATAGTGTCTCTTTTGTCGCTATTTTCTATTTATATTTTTTCACCCACCTTTTTCTTAAATGAATTAAACCCGATAAATCATCATTAAGAAAGAAAAATATAGACAGAATTAATGATTAATTACGCCAAGATGTACGGTCCTGACGCGCCTGATGCCCAAAATCGACGGCGGGCACGAGCAAGGGGCAAAAGATCCGGCGGTCGACGTAAGCCCCTACGAGGAGTCAGATGACGTCGTTGGAAGGAAGCGCATTACTTTACGGGACGAAGGGACGCTCCACGAGGCTCTGAGGCCGTCAGATTGGCCCACGTGTATGTTCAGGATTTCGCTCCTAGGAGTTTCTAAAATAGTTCCCCAGGTTTGCCGAAATTACTAGATTACCCTTCCTATTTTTAATTCCTTTAGCTTCTTTTCCTTTTTAATATGCTGAAGTTGCATGCTTTTAAATAATCTAATAATTGGATTCGGTCTCTTCATTTCAATTTATTCATGCTTTCTTATCAAGTGAGTGTGATGGAAATCGATCCTTGGACGAAATCCAATCGGATCCCATTTTTTAATTAATTTATCTTATGAATATGGCCCAACTCATTCTAGTTTACCATTTAAACGCTACTAAAATGTGACAATATTTAAGTTTATTAAGGTTTTGTTCTCTCTCACACATGCACACCCATACAAAATCAATCACATTAATTTAAGGATGTCATATGACATTTTAAACAATAAAAATGTTCAAGTGGAAATTTCTATGCCATGCCGCATATTTAGAATTGCGGGCCTCTTAATAAATCTACATTTGGGATGGATTTTAAGGCTTGATTTTTAAGGATATGTAATCTCTAACATTAAGATCATGAATGTGAAAAAATAAATACATATTAAAAACTAACAATAATAATTTAGAAAAAAAACATTTGGACGGTTAATTTCCATTGTTTTTAGATGGAACACCTACTTACATCCATCTTTAAGATGGATGCCTTACACTTACTTACATCCATCTTTAAGATGGATGCCTTACACTTTTTGGACCACATAAGTAGAAATGCAGTCCAACGTGCATGAAACAAATTTTTTTGTATATTATGAGATCATTTAGTTTTGGTTTTGATATATTAAATGTGATATCCAGTAGACGAAAGTGTGTCACAATATTTGAGAAAATTTATTTTAAAATTTATACCTAAAAAATGACATGTGATTTCAAATCTAACCGTCAGTGATAATCATGACATCCTTGTATCAAAAGTAAATAGCTTCATTATATACATTTCCATTAATTTAACCTAAATGCCATAGGATTGGAGATACGTATACATTATAGAGACTAAGGATTGGTATGAGAAATAAGAGCTCATATATTATGTTCTTTTGGGAGCATAGTTTACTTCTAGTATATCAATTAGAAGACCTATTTGGGATGATTTTTTCAATTTGAAATTTTGATAACCGTTATAGAATCATTAAATGATATTCTTAACCGGAAACAAATTGAAATTTGAGGTTTCTAATACTTAGAATTCATCCTCTAAAAATTGGACGATTTCTATTCAATCTTAAAGATATTTTTTATTTCAAATACTTAAAGGGTGTAATTATGAATTTTTTTTTTTCATACTGAAATTAATCTATATGTTAAAAAGGTTTTCTTCCCAAGATTTGGGTCATAAAACTAATCCTTGGTAGTGTTTTACTAAAGGGAGTAAATGAACAATATACTCGTGAGGGAGTAGAATATATTTTTGGTGAACGTAAGGCTGTGGGCATGCTCGCATAAATTCCACGTTCTAAAATAAATCATATACATTAACAAGGTCAATGTTTAGAAACTCTTTTGGACCCATTTGAGACAGATGGGGAGGCGCCTAATTTTCGGTTGAAAAGCTTAAGAAGTGCATGTGTCACCCAATTTGAAGAATTTTTTTAAAAAAACTTTCTTTGTGAAGATGTACTCGGGCTCGTTCAAGTTAGGCTGAGTGGAGCCCTAGCAGGTCTGAGCCTATATTTTAAAAAAAAGATAATAAATTTCACATCTTCTACGTAATTTTATAAAATTGTACATTACGGGTCTATTTACTTTTTTTATAAGGAGGTTACAACTACTTCTAACCATCGGATATCAAAATTGATAGCTTGAAGTATGTCATAAAGTTGAAAAAGTTATTGTGATGTGAGCCTAATAAATGATGCATAGTCAACCACTTGATTTAAAATCGGTTGAACAATAGTGATTGCGATGTGCTTATATGAAAAATAAATGATCTTTTTGTATATATTTTTGTAATATGAAAAATTATATTTATCCAGACATATAAATGAGTTAAAATAAGAAAATGCACAAAGTAGAACTATTAATTTTCTATACAAAGAAATCTGATTAGCCAGTAGGTATGAAATCCGAGCGGCTGGGGGATGTCATTGCCTCGTCTCAAAAGAAAATCAAGAAATACATGGTAGTATACGATCCCAATGAATAAACATGTAAATCTAATAATGAAAATTTTCCATGAGTCATGGTCAATCAGCTTAATTAAATGCTTAGCAATAGAATTACTCAAGCAAGCAACCAATTCAGTGATTGATAACCCCATAATCACCTGATTAGTAAACAAAAAAGTATTGCATTATGTAAGATAATTTAAGAGGGTAATTTAGTCATTATGACAACTTGATTACGTGGGGCTAGGGCAAGCAAAACCTAGGGTTTTGTTGAGGCCGTGATCTTTCTTTGGTGCGTGGCGTCAGCAGGAGCCTGAAAGGCAGAGTTTCTTTCCCTCAAAAAGAAGCCCAAACAGTCGCTTTCTCTCTCTAGCTTTAACCGGAGCGGTTGTCGTGAAGTGACCGGGAGATCTAACCCAGCTAACCGGCCATAGCCGGTCACAGAAGCTCGAAAACCAAGGCAAAAGCCCTCTATGGCGAGTGCAGCTGCCCTCTGCTACTGCCACTGCTACTCTACTGCTACTGCAGTTGCAGTGATAATGATAAGCATTCATTTTCTCTCTCTATTTCTAACCCTCGATTGTTTCTCTCTCTACACATCCACGTTATCTGTTTCTGTTCCTTTCTGGTCCGAGAGGGAAGTGGGGGGCGCTCAGGTGCTGGATTTGATCTCTTGCCCAAGTTGGGCCTGGTCTTTTTTATTGAGCTTTCTCTCTCTATGTCAGAGCCGCCATTAAAATAACAGGCAGAGAGCTTGAGTTCACAAAACACCCACGCTCACACTCATGTGCATGGGTTTTGCCGTAGAAGGGTGTTTTTTTGGGCTTTTTGAGGCACACTGTGCATGTATATGATGTTTCTCTCTCTCTTTACAACCAGGTTCTGAGAATTTAGTGCGTAAATCTCTCTCTCGAACTCTCCTTTTTGGTTTTCAAGGCGCACTGTGCATGTAGTATATCTCAAGTCAACAGACCATGCTCCAGAGTTCAATCTCTTTAAGTACACCTCTCTCTGAGTCTTCTTTCTCTAGTGGTCCCCAGCTTTGATCTCACATTCTTAGGATCAGATACAGTTTTGGGGGATTAAGCTTTTATGGAATAGGAGATGAACGGTTGCTTCTCGTTCTCGCTCTAGGTAATCAAGCACCTCGTTTCTCTTTCCTCTTTCTTGTGAATTGGGTTTCTAATCTTTTGGCTGATTTGAATTGGGTTCCTTCAAAACTGTGATTTTATGGTGAGTATTGGCCACTGTGGTGATCTTAGTATTTCACCAGTCAGTTTGAGCTGATGTCTCAAGGGTTTGAGCAAGGATGCTTGGGCCCAAAGGTTTCAGATCACTCCTTTCTTAGAATGAATATGCTTAGATCTCAGCCCCACGTTGCTCAACAAAGCCGTAGAGAGAAGCTCAGAGTTCAGCTCAACTCTTCATCTTCTTCACCACCTCCTTCTTTATCACAAACTGATACGATCAACCAAGGAATGTCACACTACATGCTCAATCAATCTAGGGACGTTAATATTGGAGCAATTGTGCCTTCTGATTTGCCTGAAAATTGCAATTTTTCGAGGAATTTTACAGGAATTCCAGCTTTGCCTCTTTGCGACCCCAATATTTTGCAGGCAGATATGTCAAGTTTCGCAAGCACAAGCGATGCGTTGTCTCCTCGCCCAAATCCCTCTGGTTTTCTCCCTCAAAAACCCAATAATCCTTTGAATTCCCAAGCTCAACAAAACTGTGACATACTCATGAATTATGCTCCAACCTCAGCTAGTGCATCTTCATATGGTGGTAATAACCCACTGTTTGGTCCATCTGTTTTAGGGGGGATCTTATCAGGAAGTTTAAAAGAAGGTAACTTTTCTTCTTCTTCCCAGCTCTTTCTCCTTAACAATCCTTATACTACTGACCCAAATGCTCAATCTTCTGTTCATTTATTGAACCCTTGCTCTAGTGATTTGTCTTTGAATCAAGAGAGCCAGAAGCAGTTTCTTGAGATACCCAATATGCATTTTCCTGGTTTTCATCACAGTTCTCTTCCTGTGACTTCTTCTATGGATTGCAATTCTTCTCTCTATGGCTCCCAAATAAATCAAAATCTCAGAGACCCACCTCCTCAAGCTTTCCTTCTCCCCACTTCTTACGCTAACAGTCTCCAAAATATTGAGTTCAAAGCAAACCAACAACTCTCTGTTGGCCATGACACTTCAGGGCAGGGCCTCTCTCTTTCTCTCTCCTCTCATCAGCCATCTGAGCTTCATATTCAGGATTTCCAGTCTAGATTTGGGTGCCATAACTATGGTCCTTCTAAAGCTGGTTTCTTTGGTTCGCACCAAGAAGATAATAAGGGAAAAGGTGAAGAATTTTACAGCAAACAGTGCAACAATGGGAACATAAGGGACTATACATCATTTCAAAGGTTCGGCAGTGGGAGCAAAGGTTTCTCAGGCTCGGTTCATGGCATGGGTGGTGGTCCTCTTGGCCCATTTACTGGCTATGCTAGTATTTTGAAGAGCTCAACCTTCTTGAAACCGGCTCAGCAACTCTTGGATGAGTTTTGCAATGTGGGGCAAGTAATTCAGATGGATGGGTCGAAAGCGAGGGTACGAGGAGTTCAAGGGCCTTTTGAGAGGGGAAACGGAGGTGGAGGTGGCAGTTCATGTGGCGTTAGTGAGAGGGGTGGAAACCCTAGTGTTTCAGCTTCTTCGATCCATCATTCTACGGAAACAAGTAGTGAAGCTGGTGTGGATAATCCAGTCTCTTCGAGCGATCGAGCTGAGAATCACAAGAAGAAGACAAAGCTGGTTTCAATGCTGAATGAGGTATTTCTCACAAATACTCGACCTTGTTTCATTTCTTTCTTAAAATTATTTGTGATGAATAATGGATGCTTCTTGTGGGGTTTTTGTATTCCAGTGTATCAAAAATGGATTTTGCTGGTATTTCTGATGCGATATTCCTCTATTGAATTTGGACAGCACAGCTACGAGCATTTCAATTTCTGAACTAGTTTTCAGTTATGATCAATAATGATATTTGTAATGCATGATTTTCTACTACTATGTGTGCCTGTGAAATGGATGGTTGTTGTGAGGGATCAAAATATTGTGAGAGTTGAAGTCCATTGGTTTTACTTAATAATACCAAACGTTATTTGTCACGATCACTTAAATGGTGGTACATGTAAATCACTTTTTTTTAATATATTTTTTCTTTAAATTTGATTGATAGGATATCTCAAGTTCGAACCCTGCCGATTGAACTACTCAAGAGATCGAAGATCTGTTTATTAAACACGTTGGATTCATTTCGTCCTCTAGAATTAGTTGATATATTTAAATTATTTGTTTAGCTGAGGTCCAAAAAATTCAGGGAAATTGTTGAGGGATGTTGATTGAAGTGGGTCCTTATTTCATCAAGTTGTATCGTACACAAGACGATGAGGTCCGAAAGTGAATTTATCGAACTTTTTGTGGTCGAGTCTTCATATAACGTTCAGGCGATCAAGTTGAGATGAATCCTGTAGTATATTATGTAGTCGCGTGCTGCCGCATTTGTATTGGCCGCCAAATGCCGGTTATTTAAATTATTCACCTCGGTTTCTTTATGGTGAAAGTTGAAGCCTAGTTCACCGTCTGGTTGCAATAATAGAAGGGAACTAAGCAAGGATTCATCTCTTTATGGTGAAAGTTGAAGCCTAGTTCACCGTCTGGTTGCAATAATAGAAGGGAACTAAGCAAGGATTCATCGAAGGATTGAGTACCAATGTTTCACATTTGCTTATTGCTTGGAAACCTTCTTTTTATGTGATTCATCCACATTTGCAATTCATATCTTGAAAGTAATCCTGATGTTCTGTGGGGATGTTGACAATGGTTTAGTACATGCTTAATTTCTTTCATGGGTTAGGATTGTGGTCAGTTTGGTTATTTTGGTTAAGAGATTACAGGGATTGGTAGAATCCTGCAAAGTGGTTGACTAGTAGTCCTTCTGTGTGTTGGACAAGAGCAGAAAAATTTATCAGACCTTGTCTTTGAACATGTTGTTAGGAGAATGGTGGCTTTATGAATTTTGTGGCTCGCCAAATAAAAATAATAAAAAACATTTTTGAGATGAACATTGACCATATTAATTTTTTAATCAAAATAAAAAATGAAATTAGTTTGTGGCGATTGGTTCTTGTAATGTGGTTGGAGAGTGGGTAAGATGGGTGAGTTGTTTGGAAAGACCAACTACACTTTTGGGATTTGGAGAAGCAGGAGAATGCAAGTATTGATCTTTAGAGACCGTTTGGCTTCTTGGAAATAATTCTTAAAATTTTCCATCAAAGTTAGATGATTGAGGGGTCTCGTGGGAGAGAGAGGGCAAGAGGGTTGTACTAGATAGTAATGATTGGGTGTGAAGAAGATTCAGTTATTAGGCATCAGTCATTCAAAATCATTGGAGAGGCCTCATTCCATAGATGAATATCCTGAAAGTGAATCTTCAAGAACCTGAATTGGCCCTTGAGGCGGATTGGGGTTAAAAATTCCAGCATGATTTATGTTCTCATGAAGGTTGATGTGGGGTAAGAATATTGAGGTGACACTTGTGGAGCCTTGTGGCATCAGTTCAACATTTAATTGTTGGAATTTTAGAATTTGTTTTAAACATGATATTTGGAAAGCAAACAAGTGGGCATGCCGCAAAACTCGGAAGCCAAATTTTAGGAGGTTTGAAAATATGAAGTAAGGAAATAAGAAAGGAGTACGCCACCTTCATGCGTAGGATTCACATCAAAATATCATTCCCAAACTTCAGGTGGGAAACATATCCAGAACTGTATCCAAACCATCACATATATTTATATACAAAAAAAAAAAAAACAATACGAGGGAGATGCTATGGCCTCTGGCCATAGCAAAGCTCCAAGTTACCCCAATGCTCCCATGACCCTGTCTACACAATTTCTTTCCTCTCTACAAATTTCACAATGTTTTTTCCATTGCACTTCTGTTACAAAACACCTTTATTTATAGAAGATTTTCAGGAATTTTTAAGACCCTATTAATTAGCTTCTTTTTGCCCAAGAACTACCCTTTGTTTCCTAGGAATCTGGTATGGTTCAGGATGGTAGAGGCTAGGTTTTCATAGCACAATGTCTCAAGTTCCATTCCTATGTAGCCTTGTCAAAAAAAAAAAAAGCAACCTTTTGTTTCCTACATCACTTGAACATTCCCAAAAGTTCTAAAATTAACTAGAGAAACCTAAATAACAAGTAATAAAAAAAAGTTAGTAGTTTTTGAATTGCATATTTTCAACATTGTTTATATGGGGAATGTGGTTGTTTAGAGTCCACATCTTTTGCGATACTGTGGAGTAGCTTGCCTTTTCTAAACATTATCATTGGGGCAACACTGAAATAATTTAGCAGATTGAATGCTAACGGTAGTTATCGAGTGAGGCCTCCTCCTGTGTGTTAGAAAAGTGAGTTTGGAGTGTCCTCGTAGATGGATTTCTTGTCAATGATGAAGATATTGGCTTTGCGGTGGCTAATGATGCTCTTCTGGTGACGGACTCCTCCCCCATGATTTGCGTGTGTTGGCATTTTTCCATGTGCAAGGAGCTTCAAGAAACTATTAACCTTTTCTCCATTCATTCTTGATTATCTTAGAGGAGCTTTAGGAAAATATCCACCTTTCTTATCTCATTATGCATTATCGAAGACAAGTTGGTCGTTTGGCCTTTCCCTCGTGTGGATGTCTTGCATGGAATATTTGTGAATTAGCAATTGCTTAGGGGGTGACGCGGGTTGAAGAAATAAAGAAAATGAGATTACAAGATATTTCGGTTAAAGGTTGTGAAAACCACATGTTCGGATGCTCATGTTAAATGCACTTGAATGATTTAATGGGGAATTCCTTTTTTAAAGATTTGATCATGAAAATGATCTCTGTATTTTTAAACATCATGCCTCTTTAGTACATGTGATGCGTATATAAAAGCACATGCTCCAAGAATGAATTGAAGAGGACCCCATCACTCCATCTAAATGGGATTGAAAATGTTTGTATGCTAGGTACTTTTCAAATTTTAGAGGCTCTTGTATTAGAGGCTTTTGTACTACAGTAGTTTCATACTTCATATAGATAGAAGATTGTTGACCATCGTGGATGTCAAAAATATAATAAACAGAGAATGGGCAAAATTCAATTGTAAGTTGTTTTGTTGGAATTTTTTTCATTTCTTTTGGACGGTTGAATTGGCTGAGTTTGAAGGACAACAAAGATTTCTCTTTCTTATTGTTCTTTGCAATATCAGATTACTTAATTTGCTAGTCAATTCTGGTGGGTGTCCTCTCCATTTGGAAACGTCGTCAACAAAAGTACTTAGCCCCTCATGGTCATCAGGAATACAAATGCCTTAAGGATTAGTTTGTGAGACTAGTTTGGAAACGAGATTTGGACCTACACTATTACTAAGGAATAGTCAATATATCCAGGGAATTTAAAATTTCCCCACAGGACATGTAGTAAATTGTTTCCAATTTCCCCTCGGGCCCTATCTTTCTGATTGATTTTAAGATGCTGCTAGTTTTGATTTGTGCTTCTTTGTGAGGCATATTTACCTCAAAGGCAAGAGGAAGTTATGTAAAATTGTGTAGTCATATTAGGACCAAACTCCAAATTTAGAGTGAGAACCTCAACTGGGTTTTCGGCCTGTTTAGGGGAGATTTTTAAATATGATCCTTTGAAGTGATCTAGGTGAATGCTGTCATCTCAGTTTCAATTGTATACTTGATCTGTTGTACAATTTTGGAGATATCAAAATTCCTAATTGCTGCTCCATGGTCATAATTAGGAGAATGATAGAGGAAAATGAAAACGTTCTCATGAGTTATCCTTGCTGAGAGATTCCCATGCCTACATCCAGTCCAATTTTAGCCAGCCCATCGCAAGTTCTATCAATTATGTCCAGTCATCAATAATCGCTTACATCTGAAAAGCTTGGTGAAAGCTTCCAAGGTTTATACTTTGCAACGATCTAACTGCCGGATAAGTCAGTCTTAGGATTAGGGTGTTGTTTTTTATTTATTACAACTTGTAATATCGATTAATGGCTTATTGGTTTTTTGGCTATAAGAAAAGAATGGTTATTGTATACCTTGTTACGGGTTGTATTTTTTCTAAGAACAGCTAGATTGGAAGTTGTATAGAGCACCAGCTATCGTGGATATAATTTGGCAGATCAGTGGTACTTGTGATGCACAATCGTAATTGACTTCTAGTAGTCCCTCTTTTCCTCATTGTGAAATTCATTCTTAGTAAATTATTGTTGTGCATTTTCTTCTGATGTCTTAGATGACTTGGTAACAATGGACCGTAGACCAATTGCTTATTTCATGCTCTGACTATTGAGTCTAAATTGAACTGCTGTTCACCTGTTCCTTTTGAGCAATGGTTGTAGATTAATTGAAGTAGAGCCCTCTGAGCCATAAATCTAGTACAGTGGTTGCATGCCATTTATCTATTGATTGTTGATGAACATTTATCCTTGGAGTACGCTATAACACAATCAATTCAATTGCGGCATGTTTTGTCTAGTGCCTAAGGGTTCTCTCTAATGCTTTCGCCAGTTGATATGACCGTCCTTTTTAATTTTATGAATGTCTTAAATTTGTTCCCCATGGCAGGTTTTTCAGAGATACAAACTCTATTACAATCAGATGCAGATGGTTATGACATCATTCGAATGTGTAGCCGGCCTCAGTGCAGCTGCTCCATACACCGCTCTAGCCCTAAGGGCCATGTCCAAGCACTTTAAATGCCTTAAAAATGCCATTGCTGATCAACTACTCTCCACAAGCCGAGCCTTGGGTGAGGATTGCACCCCTCTGAGTGTTAACAAAGGAGAAAGCACTAGTCTTCGGATTTTAGATCAAAGCCTTCGTCATCAGAGAACAGTTCAAAGTTCAGCAATTATTGAACAACCTCAACACGTGTGGCGACCGCAAAGAGGGCTGCCTGAGCGTGCTGTGGCTGTGCTCCGTGCATGGCTTTTTGAGCACTTCCTACACCCGTAAGTCTTATGCCTTCTCTAATTTCCTAAAATAGCTAGGAAGGGCTTTTTCTGTTGGTTATCTTATGGGCTGTGTTACTTTTGAGGCATTGATACTTTGAAGCTAGCAGTGACTCGATTTTACTTTAGAACCTAGATAAGAACCTGTCAACCAACCTCACTATAATTTTCACTACACTGTTCAATGATCTCTATGAAGTCTAAAAAGTTTTGGTTCATCCATGTACGTATCCAGTCTCCTTCCTACTATGGACTTTGACTCTGAAATTTTTCTGGGGGGACAATGTCAACCATCGAGATCATTTAACTTCAGAAAAATAAAAAAAAACACTAGGATTATGGATCTAGAATACTAGATTTTAGTACTTTTTCTTATAATAGGGCTAAAATGAATAATTCAAGTATGTTCTGAGAACATTGTTTAGAGGCAGCTGTTTGTAAATCGTAAAAGGTATTTTCTTTTCATATTCATGATGCTAGTGATTGAGTTTAAGGATTGGTTAAGTTTTTTTTCCGAATCTCCTCTAAGTTGACTATTGGAAGGGAGCCTGTGCTCACTAAAACCTTGTCTTTGATTTTGTTTGCAATTTTCCATGTATTGATGCGGCCAAGTAGTATATACAATTTGATGTCCCCATTGTGAAAGTGTACAATATGACCATCTATTTATGATTACATGTCATATTTACCGTTTTCCGTGGAATTTGATGACGTTGGGTGTAACATTGAATAGGCTCTAAGCAAGAAAATTTCTCAAACTTAATGATATGTCTTAGGCTTAGTTTGAATTCCATATATGGTCTTCTACCATGTAATCCCATTATAAAAGTAAGGGTGAGGTTTGTATACGGTGCCTACGTTAAAAATGTACAAGCAAGACACCTAATTTTACTGGAAGGTGTAGTTTGGGCATCGTCAACCCGAATCAGTTGGGAAAAGGTTTTGACGATAATGATGATATAAGTATGGTTTGGTATTGGAAACTTATTATGATTTGAAAGTACCTTAATAATGTAATTTAAAATTTCAAAAATGGTGCAGATCGAAATTGAGACGGGGATACTTGAAAATCTTAAAAATAAAAGGTCCAGATAATTTGCTACGAGATGCACTTTTTTTTTGACTTGAAATTATTATTAGTTATATTCGTAAGGTCGAGATGATCAATTAAAAATTTTTAGAACAATCTTATACACTTTTTGGTACAATTTTACTGGATTTCTCAAGTGCTATTTACTTTTTTGGTACAAGGTTGGAACTACATGTGAACTTTTTCCTAAAAACAATTCCATAATATCCGGTTCTTTGCTCAGTACACCATGTTACTTGCTGTTGTGTGGTAATTACAGCGAGTACAACACTACAATTATTGGAGTACAGTAAAGTTGCACTACTTGCTTTTTTTTCTTTTCTCTCCTTTTTTCGTCTCTTAAATCTGGCCATGCATTACTTATCCAGGTACCCAACCGACACTGACAAGCAAATGTTGGCCAAGCAAACTGGTCTTACAAGGAACCAGGTATATATACTCAATATTACATGTTATTCCTTATTGTACACTCTTTTAATGGTCCTCTGGGTGCACTCACGTAAAGATGACTTGAAAAGCCAGGAAGTCCATTTCGTTCTCTCTCTAAAACACTTAGTCCTTTTGGGTGTTTCTCTGTCTAAAAGCACATGGTACAATTTCGTTCTCTCTCTCTAAAATACTTGGTCCATTTCGTTCTCTCTCAAGTTCTCTTTCTAAAACACAGTCTATTTCGGTGTCTCTCTAAAACACTTAAGTCCATTTCGTTCTCTCTCTACAACACTTGTCCATTTCGTTCTCTCTCAAGTCCAGTTAGGTCTTTCTCTCTCTAAACTACATCAGTCCTGGTTAGTCCATTTCGTACTTTCTCTATCAAAAGCATTCTCTCCATTTTAGTCATTCGTTCTCTAAAATACTTAGTCCATTTCGTTCCCTATCTCTCTAAAGCACTTAATCCAATTCGGCTTTTCTCTCTCTGAAGCACTTAGCCATTTCGTTATTTCTCTCTCGAAAGCACCTGGTCCATTTTTGTTTTTCTCTCTCTAAAAGACAATCCATTTGATTCGTTCTCTCTCAAATTCAATTACACCGTACTCTCTCTCTAAGACACTTTTCATACTGCTTCGGAAGGCCAGTTTCCTACAAACCCAGGGACATTTTACACCTTGTGTATGCTATGTTGTACACAGCCAATGTATCTAATGTCGATTCTCCATGACCAACAGTGGATATTACCCATGTTAGCAGGTCATTTAGGGTGGGATGATGTCTGTCCCATTAGTGTAGAATGTAACACACAGTCTATGTGCAGTATACTGTGGAACTCAGTGATGCACAGGTTGTGTATGTTGTGGGTGTTATTCTCTCTAACGTACGAGCAGGTTGTTTTTGTTGTGGATGTTACTCTCTCTAATGTGCGATCGAGAGTCCATGAGAACTCTTTTCTTTCGGCACGTTTGTTTCGTGTGAAAATACAACGGCGATTTTTTCACATGGAAATATTTCCGGGAAACAAACGTGCTTTAGAGATGCTGAAATTTCTTTCTTATTAGAGGGACAAACCAAGAAATTCATCTTTGGGTTTTTATATCACAGGTTTCTAACTGGTTCATAAATGCAAGAGTGAGGCTCTGGAAACCCATGGTAGAAGAGATGCACATGCTTGAAAACAAGGAATCCTCAGCAAACATGGATCTCAATTCAGTCAAGAACTCGGAGGAGCAGGCGGCGAAGCAAGCTGTGAACTCCGAGCACCAAAGCGCTTCAAGCACTGCACCAAAGAATGAAGAAGAAGACGCTCAGCAAGGCCATGAGCCGAAACCTATGAAACGATTAAGGAACGAAGAGCTTTCGCACCACCCGTTAAACCCTAACCCTATTTCGACTGAATACCCATCTTCTTACCAGTCCTCGGAAGAGCTTTTCCCGCGCCATTCGGGAGTTGGGGGAGTCTCCCTCACTCTAGGGTTACGCCATAACGGGGTGCAAGATAATCCATTCTATCATCAAAGTGGGCAAGCCATCGAATTTGCAGCGCACCACCATTTCAGTGGCCTCCACGAAAGCAATGAATCTGAAGGTTTACAGGTTCAAAACCTGCAACTCAGAAGGCATTTGGGAACCCAGTTACTCCATGATTTTGTTGGTTAAGACGGCTAAACCTTTAATGGCGAGTATCAGGCCATAATCAGAAGATTATAAGCTGGAACGCCTCCCACACTGTATATTCTCTCTCTTCTCTCCTCTCCTCTCCTCTCCTCTCCTCTCCATTAAGCCATCTCTCTCTATCTAAGGCCTCTTATATAAATATTCATCTGCCAAAGGGTATAGATGAAATGAGGAATGCGTGGAGCTTGGAGGGATCTCTTTTATTAAGTCAGTCGGGTATGTTTACCTCAATTATGTTCATTTTATTGAAAAAGCAATGTAATTCATCTGGATTCTAAGCTAAATGATCGAGATGCGCTTCTCTAGGTGCTTATTTTGTATTTCAATAATATCCAATAATAATTATTAGTAATATTGCTTTAATTTTTTAAAAAAATATTAAAATACTTCAATTTTTTGCAATTTTTCTGCACTCTTATTTTCCTTCTTTTTTTTTTTTTGTTTTATACCTAAAATATCTCTGCTAGCAGAGAGTGCTGACGCCATTCCCATTCTTTCTGATTTCCAAGAGGTATCGAAATGGTGCTTGCACCACATTGCTGCTGGTGTGAGCCTGTTAGGTCCGTAGAAGTGTCATTTTAGGTATAAAACGAATAGAAGGGAAAAAAGAATTGTGCATGAGTCTAAATTGGTGGAAATTTAGGTACTTTTATTCTTTCAAAACTTGTTGGGATCTTTATTTTTTAAAAAAAAAATTATGGTTTTTTTCGGAGAAAGAAATCAAAAAAATCGAAGATGAGTCTTAAATTGTTGAAAATTTGAATGGCTTTTATTGTTTCAAAAATTATTGGGATCCTTATTTTTTACAAGTTTTATTTCCATAAATGGTTTTTTGTTTATCCATTTGATTATGTAAAGTGATTTATTAAGTGGCATGCTCCCATCTTCTTTATAAAGAGAGGGGAAGAGGAGGGCAATATGGTAAAAATTTAAGGGTGGGCTAAAATGGCGGGTCCCGGGCCTATTGGTACAAGATGTTAGTGGATGTGATGTAAATGGCATCAGCAAAGCCGATCATTTGAGGAGAGAAAACCGAGGTTTGGGCGCGATAATCAAAGATTAGTGGTGCGGTAAACCCCCTGGTTTGACTGGTGATCATTAAGACGGATTTTGTACCAACTTTAGGGCTCATAAAAAACCCTTGCGCGTTGCTCGATGTACAGTAAGTTTCATTTATTTCAAAATTTAAATATTTGAGGAGGATTTTCGTGGCGTGGGTTTCTAGGTCAGTGTATCATTGATGCTTTCTCCTGTTCGGCATTTTTCAAGGAAAAGATTTCTTTTATGACCTCAGATGGCCGCCATTTGGTTTTGGAAAATCGTTCAAATAAGTACGCGTGTGGTTTCTATGAGGTTGCAACTTTAAATAATACGGCGCGAATCCATTTTTTTATGGTACTATGTCATTCAGGTGTAAATTTTTTTCGGTTTATCTGAAAATTTATTGTTATATTTAATTATAGAATTTTAAATTTCGAAAAAGGTTAAAATTAAGTATATCTATAAACATCAAAATTTTGAAAATGGATAATCTAAGATAATGTGGTGCGATGTGTATTATTTTTGGAACTCAATCTTTTTTTTTTTTATATACATACATCTTGATGTTGAGATGATCAATTAGAAGGAGGGTTTTTCAACTTGAAAGCAACATATTTATGGATTTTTTATGTGCATATTTAATTTTACATTTTAAGGTTTTAGCCTTATATAAACTTTTTCCAATCAGTAATGCCTCACTTTGTAAATCATTATAAATTGTATTGGGATCGTATACAATAAGTTTATTTACCTTTTACACAAGATGATCACAATTATTTATAACTGTTTGATGTGAAATCTGGCGACTTGAGTGTATCATAAATTTTGAGGTTTTTTTATTTTTTATTTTTAGCTTTGAGATTGCTCAATGAAATAAATGCAGCCAGCTAATATCACATCCATTGGTCAAGATTAATTGTGACTACTTTGTACCAAAGGTAAATGGTCACATTATATAGTTTTTAATTATAATTCAGGCATTGGAAAACTTAATATTGATCGTTTCGCTTTTGAATATTGTGGTTGTGACGAAAGTTTGGATTTCAAACTTTAAAAATGGTGTACTTTGTAACAAATTATCTATACCTTTCATTTCACTTTAGAAATAAGTGCTCACAGACTCGTAAGATCGTTCCCAATTTTTGAATTTCAAATTTATGTTGTCATTGGAAAACTTGATATCAATCATTTTGGCTTGATCGTTAATGTTGGAAAAATTATTAGGATTTCAAATTTTAAAAGTAGTGTATTTTCTAACAAATTATCTAGACCGTTTGTTTCGCCCTAAAAATAAGATCATTTTTTCTTTTCTTTTTTTCTATGGGGAGGTCACAACTACTATCAATTGTTAGATGTGATATCAAATGATCGATGATCTATTATTGATTAGGCATAAAGTTCAAAATAAAAAATTTCAAATGTTTTGAGGCATTTCAACCGTTAGATTTCCCATCTAATGATTAAGAGTGATTATGATTTCTCGACCAAAAGGTAAAAGGTATGGTTTCCATAAGGTTGCAACCTTAAAATTTGATCATAATATATAATTTTGTTGTAAAATAGTCTTAGGATTCTTTCAAAATCTATTTCATAGCTAATTATAAAATATCAAATTCAAAAAATGGCTAAAATTCAGTAAAATCTTAAAAATGGATGGTCTAAATATTGTGTTGCAAGATGCACTTTTTTTGGGATTCAAAATCTTTTTTTCTTTCATAATCATACATCTCGGTGTTGAGATGTTCAATGAGAGGGTTTTTTTATCCTTAAAACAACATTTTCCAATAAATTTTTAAGTTGCACCCGTAGTTCTGCATTCTAAGATTACAACCTTATATAAACTTTTTCCAAAAAAGTAAATAACATCTAGTCCGGTTCCAATAAAATGATAAGATGGGGCGTCGTGGAGTATCTCTCTCCTCGGTTCATGTGAATCGTTCATTTCCACCACTTTGGACAATTCCACGCACGCTTTCTCTCTGATGTTTTACTGAACATTCTTCCTATTTTCATGGGTTCAGGAAATCTCACTCTTCGGTAACCCAACTGGTCCGTTTCACAACTCAAGCTAAAACCTAGGCTCAAACCCAGGCTAGAATACTAGCCCAAATTTTGACCTAAATTTGCCTCTTCACATCTCATTCCTCTTCATAGGAGATGTAAAGTTCAATTCATGTGTTTGGCTAATTTTTCTTAAAGTTCAAAAAAAAAAAGAAAACTAGCCCTGTTTGGTTACACTACTTCAATTTACTAGATATGAAAGCTACAAATCAACCTCAAATTCAAATAGGACCTGATTTGGCTAAAGTCTAGTGTATATTTTACTGAGCGTGTGGTCTGGTTTTGCATCTCGACACGAGGACACTTGGGTAACATATGGACTTGAAGTTGGGAGATCTTGTATGACACACGTATAGACAATGTTACCCTGACACTTCATAGAGTTGGGATGAGGTCTGGATGATGATGACAATGACCCCAATACTTCATATAGGTTGAGGTATCACGTGTTAGTTGGATACATATGGGGATATTGCTAATGATATAACAAATTCAACATCGCTTACTTATGGACTACAACTTGGAATATCATCCGTGGGCCTAACAAAACTTTGAGAGCCATAATGACTTTTTTGTATTAAAAGTAAATGGTCTTAAGTATATAGGAAAAAAGTATATATGACGTTGCAACCTTAAAATGTAGAATTACAGATGCACCTCAAAAATCTCTCAAAAAATGATGTTTTAATATTGAAAAATCCTCTAATTGATCATCTCGACACCGAGTTGTATGAATATTAAAAAAAACAAAAAACAGTTTTGAGTCTTAAAAATAGTGCATCTTGCAACACTATCTAGACCGTCCATTTTCAAGATATTCATATGCTTATAGATCTACTTGATTTTAACTATTTTTAAACTTTAAAATTTTATAATTAGATATGAAAATAGATTTTGAGATAATCCTGAATATTTTTTACACCCAAATTGCATACTATGATAATATTTAGAGGTGCGGCTTAATTGGATTGTTTAAGGTTGCAACCTCATAGAAACCACACCTGGTATATAATCCCTTATTTCATTTTATGAAAGGATAAATTGTGTACGTGTGTGTGATTTTTTTAAGTACAAAATAAAAATAATTATTTTTGATGCAAGGATGTCACTATTGTTGGTACGTGTGTGTGGCCATGGGGCTTTTAAACGTACAATATTTATCTCTCTTATAATTTAATGCTTATCACTAAAAATGGATGCTTCTTAGAGAGATAAAGTGTCGTTATCTAATGGCTAGAAAGTAACCACCTACTTCTCAAGATTACAGGGCCATGTTTTCTCAGAGATTTCAGAAGGAAGCCTAACGTTGGAGAACGACCTCCTTCATCCCTCTTTAAGAAGAGTTTCATGGCCATGGAGAGGGATACATAAATTTACAGAGTTCTCAGAGTTCTGGTAAAAGCCTGATCTTTACGATCGATAGTCTCAAGACACTGCCCCTAATCCTAAGAGTGGGTCCATCTCTTCCCTCAAGTTTTTCAACATTGGTATCAGAGGAGGTTGTGGAAGCGTGGTGGGCTCATAACCTACAGGTTCCATTTTTTTTTTTGGGGTATTTAATATCTCATTTTTTTCCTGAGTTTAATTTATAGTAACTTTGATATTGTGCTTTGTCATTCACGTATATCTTGCTGTAAGTTTTTTCTAACTTTAAATTTAATAGTCTGAATTTATTTATTTATTTATTTTTATAAATTTTTCTCTCTTAATTTACTGCTCCTCATTTGCGATTCAGTGTTTGTTTTTACTGGTATTGTTGGTTTTGGAATATTTTCTCTACGTAAATTCTTTTACCATATTTTCTCTCTCTAGATTGCGTTTGGCTTACGTGATCATAGTATACTCGGATAAGTCCTCTGTTTAATCTTTTGTAGAGAAAAGTTAAAGAGATAGAGATGTTAGAAGAATCATCAAAAGAATAGAAAGAGAGAGAAAATAAGTTTAAGGTTATTACAGACGAGTTATCTTGACTTAGCATACACCTCACTATTGAGTTTTCTCTCTATTCCTCAATATTAGGCTGTCTTTCTAGAGTAGGAACAAGTTGTGTAGTTATTTTCTCTCTCTATAAGATCAAGTTGTTGATATAGTAGATATTTGAGCCCAAGGTCAAGTATCAGAAAATAAGGCAAATAATTATTCTCTCTATTTTCTAATAAAATTAATAATAATAGTAATTTGTAAAAAAAAAGCTCTTCTACTC